CATCGTCTTCGACCTGTGCCTTGGCGGCGACCTGTTCGCCGCCGTCACAGGCGACAACATCTTCTGGCGCAACGACGCCCTGGTGAAGAAGATCATGTTGCAGCTCATCGATGCTGTCGACGCTTGTCACAGGAGGGAGGTGTACCACCGGGACATCAAGCCCGAGAACATCCTCATCTCCAAGGATCGCACCAAGGCCTGGCTTGCCGACTTCGGGCTCGCCACGTCCCATTGTGTGACCGAGGACTTCGGGTGCGGGAGCTCGTTCTATATGTCGCCTGGTTAGTTCTTCCCTTCACCATCAATTTCTTCCTCGCTGATCTCTTTGCAGAGTGCAGAGGACGCGAGTTCAACGTCGGACCGTTCTCCTCCCGGCACAGCGACATCTGGGCGCTCGGCATCGTCCTTATCAATATGCTCACAGGGCGCAACCCCTGGCGCAACGCCTCCTCCGAGGACGACTGCTTCGCCGCCTACTTGCACGAGCCGGACTTCTTCCTGCACATGTTCCCCATCTCGCGCCCTGCCAACGCACTGCTGCGCCGCATCCTCGCGCTCAACCCGCTCTCGCGCATGACGCTCCGCGACATGCGCACCGAGGTCAAGGGCATGGCGACGTTCTTCATGACGGACCGCGAGCTGCGCCGCGCCCACCGCTTCGCGCAGGAGTGCGCGCGCACGCTCAACGGCGAGCACCAGATGCGCATGCAGCCCAAGCCCGCGCCCATCCCTATCCCCATTCCTGTGCCCGTGCCCGCCCACGTCCACGCCGCTCGGTCCGCGCCCTCGCCCAGGATGGCCTCGCCGCGCCCCGGCTCGCTCGACCCCGCCGACTCGGAGGAGTTCTACGTCTTCTCGAGCCCGAACCCCGACTCGCCGTGTGCGCCACCGCGCCCGTTCACCTTCGTGCGCAACCCGCCGATGGCATCACGACTGTCGACGGAGACGCTCGAGAGTGTGGGTCCTATCACGCCCGAGCACGTTCCCGTGCAGGGAGAGGTGGATATCTCTCCCATGGGCAGCGCGGTCATGGGCGAGCTGGTTCTTGTGGAGGATGAGGTGTGTGGTGTGCCTATTCCGGAGAAGAAGCAGGCGGACGTGAGCGGGTCGTTCTTGAGGCAGGCGTTCCAGAAGTTGATGGTTTTGTAGACGCTCGTCTTCATTTAGAGTATACCACATAGACATGATACCCTTAGAACACTTCTGAAAATAAAACAAAGTCAAACAGATGCTTCTTGAACGACTTCAGAATTGCCTCTTCTTTCGCAAGGGTGAGTATTCTAATAACTTGCAGCTATCGAATGCACCGTCTCTATGCGTGATATAGTTATATACAGTTCATGCTTGCTATCGTATCACATCGGCGAAAGAAAACATATCTCTCTTACACTACCTCCCCCTCCACTCCTCGCTTTGGATCAACGCGCTGCGACTTGTCCCCTAGAGCGCAAACTTGGGCGACAATCAGATTACCCTCAACTGTATTTCAGTTCAGACCATCCCCGGGCCGCGGCTCCCGCCGCCCGCTAGCCGAGTCTTCGAACAGCCGCGCAAGCACCCGCCCGCCAGCCCCCGAGACTTCGGATGGAATATCGAGTTGCTCCGTCTGGATTGGATTTGGTAGGTCCTTGTGGAAACACGTCAGCTCGACAACTCAGCACCAGCAGTAGGCTAGATTGGTGTGGCTTTTGACTTCCTTATCCACTCTCTGTTTCACCCCGAGCTATTCGGCTCGACAAGCCCTGCGGCGGCATCAGTATTTCAATCCAGACCAACAAGCACTCTTCCGCCCGTGCAGCCGCCGCGGGTTTAGTCGCCTAGCCAACAGCCGTCGCTGAGATATACCATCCCTACCCATGCGCGGCTCGGAAACAGAATCCAGCCGCGGATGCTTCAGTATCCTCAGTCGTTCCCGTTCCCGTTCCGCTAAGCATCCGGTCTCCAGAGTCCAATGTACCCGACAAAAGAAACCGAAAGACAAACGTGAATTACCGAAACTCCTACCGATATCCGATTCCAGGGTATGCTACAAAACAGACTCCACAGCAATGACCATAGCGCGACGAGGAGACACAAACACCGAACCTGTCCATACCAATCCGTCTATTCATCCACCCGCGCCTCCTCCGCGAACATCGACGGCCGGCTCGCCAGCCGCTCGACGGCTTTCACCAGCTCCGCATTCATCACGACCTGCTTCTTGGCCCGCTCGCCTTTACCCGCGCGCTTATACAACTCTGCAACATCCATCCGCATCAGCCCAGCCGCGCGGAATATTTGCGGAACGGATACGCCAGGCACTCACCGAGGAACCGCTCGCCCACCCACAGCCGCAGCGGCACATTGCCCTGCGCCGCCGCCTCCGCGTCCGTCTCCGCCGTCTTCTCCGCGGGCGCGCCGAGCCCCGCGGCGAGCTGGTCGCACACGTGCAGCGTCGCCTGCGCGTGCTCGCCCGCGGTGTGGAAGTAGTGCGTCGAGATGAGCGCGAGCACGAGCGCGCGCAGGTGGTTGTCCTGCGCCTTGGTCGCGAGATGCATTGCATGCTTCAGGTGCTGCCTGTCGCCACCGCCGCCGCCGTGTCGTCAGTTTCGCAAAGGAAAAGGGAAAGGAAAGGGGAGATGAGGATGAGAAGTGGATAAGGACGCACTTGGCCTTGAGGATCTCCGGCGCGAGACACGCCTCCAGGATCTGCCCGACCGCCTCGAGCGTGCCGCCCTTGCCCACGCACGCGTTCGCCGCCTGCCTTGCCAGCGCGCGCCGCTCGCGCTCTGGCATCTCATTCTCAGCCCCGCCCGTATCCGGCCGCCGCGCGAGCCCAATGAGCAGCGCAGCTTGCCCCGCGAGCGCTGCAGCGTGCACGAACTGGCCGGCCGGCGCGAGGTGCGCGGCAACGCGGTAGCAGGAGAGTGCGCGCGCGCTCTGGCCGAGGGCGTGTGCGAGGTGCGCGTGGTGCAGCGTGATGCGGGGCGCGTATGTGGGCCAGAGGAGCGTGCTGCGGGTGTGGGCGATGAGCGCGGCGAGGTGCTGGAGGGGGATCGTGAGATATGCGGAGCGACGCGAGGAGGGGAGGCTCACCTCTTCTGCGGAATCGAATTCGCTGCGCATGATGGATACCTGGCTGGAATGTCAGATAGTGTTTGGGAATGGCGATGAAGGTTCCTACCGCGACAAGCTCAGAAAGTAAGTCTGCCTTGATGTGTGCCAGAGTATCTCCCATCTCTTCGAGCTGCCCTAGACTCGTCCACGAGGGACCTGTGGTAAAATCATGAGTGATTTTCAGGCTATATGCGACTTCTCGCCTACATGCTAGAGGCGGCGCAGTGTTCTTGTCGAATTGGGCAAGGCCCTCGACGGCAAAGATCTTGCGCTTCGGCTTGCGGCCTACGGCGTCTCGCTTTGAGACGCTGGTGATCAGGAAACCGAGGTAGAAGAGGACGCGAGGGTGCGTGATCTGCACAGACAGAGGTGGGCCTGAAGGCAAGTCGATCTATGTGCGTGATGTCAATTGTCGAACAAGTCTGACAAGAGGAAATCAATGCATACAGGTATGATGCCGTCTGGGAAAGCATCGATCGCGCCGCAGTCGAGGAGGGTGTGCAAATGAGAAAGACGGGGCGCCACGTCGGACGAGAAACCGGCATGCGTGTAGAAAGTGACCGCCAAAATAAGCGCGTGTATGGCCATGAGTGCTTCGAAGTGATCGTTGAATGTCTTGTATGCCGCTTCCTGTGACTTCGAGTCCGAGCGCGCATCTTTGCTGCTCGACGGAGGAGGATATGTGAGGCCAAGCGCAGATTCGGCAGCTGCGATTGCTGGAGGCACCAGTGACCATAGTCTACGTGTGACGAGGATGCCCAGGGTCACTATATGCGCCAGGACGGCGATCTGCATGTGGCCATTGGTCGTGGCCAGCGTGTGAAGGGCCTTCGCGGCGTCCACAGCAGCATGTGCATCTTGTATGGCCGTGAGATGAGACGAGTCAGCGAGCTGTCCGATGAGAGTGAGGTGCGCGCTATACACGATAGAAGGAGAATCATTGGGGGTGAACGAAGAGAGCATCCGTCGCATGAGATTGCGGGCGAATTTGTAGTTGTGCTGCTGGTGGCAAATTCGCGCATGGAGAAGAGTAAGATGGTGCCTGTATGTACGAAGAGACGAATGCTAGTATAAATGTTAGTTAGGAGGAAGTACAGCGACATTAGATGACGTACCTTCTGCGAAAGAAGAAGCTAAAAATCCGGGTGTTTAGCTCTCGCGAGGGTCATGTATGCGCAGAAATTACGACGTACGCCTTTGCTGATGGCGGTGTCCACCTTTAAAAGTCTGTCTGAGCTTAGAGCTGTGAGTATCAGGGAAGTTACTCACCTCCTTCTCTATTCCATGCGCCCATGGGTGATCAGGCTTCTCATGAAACCCGCCACCGATGATATTCATCCCGAGCTCCGCAAGAGATGTCCACGCTCTGCATTCTATTTCCGGAGACAACGCGCTGAGAGATAAGCATTTCCGGATCGAGAGAAGTGATAGTTGAAGAGATTGAGGGTGGCATTGGTGGGTAGGCGGGTGGATGAGCAGACTAGGAAGCGAGACGAGGAGGATAGGTGGAGGTAATGGCACAAGACTTTCTGATGGTGCATTGCTCTCGGTTCGTTTGCGCTTAGATGGACGTGGGTTGTCATCTGCAGTTCGAGAGCGGGGCATCTGCAAAGCACGGTTTCGGCGGACAGTGGCACATGTTAGCGACTTCAAGAAAAGTCTAAGTGGAAAGGATGCTTACATCAAGGCTTGTGGTAGATAAAGTATGGCTAGTAGATCCCTGAAGAGCCCGTTAGAAGGCGTAGGGAGATGGTGGTGGTTGGGTGAGAAGAGTCTCCGAGTCCTTCAACGCGACATGCAACGCGTTTCGTCACGCACAAACGCGACCCGTCACGCGTCACCCTGCAGGCTTAGACTGTAGCTGTTTTCCTTGATCTACAAACAAAAAATTGACCTCTTCCATATCGGATATGGTGTAATGGCTAACATTACCGCCTCTCATTAATTAAGTGCTCGCGGTAGCTCGGGGTTCGATTCCCCGTATCCGAAATTTTCCATCTTTTATCAAAGAGTACAGAGTAGTTGTCATTATATTTGAGCGTCTCGACTATCGTACGTACGAATACGATACTTCGTCTGTAAGTACGCTGTCCTGCCAAGATATGCGATCTAGAGTCCCGATTGTTGATACATGTTACACGATTACTTTTTGCAGACCCCCTTATGAGTTTTCCAGTGTTCGCTCTGGCAAGCAGAATCACAGTACCTGCATGGATCACAACATCGGTAAGATCAGAGACCAGTCGCATACAACGGACGGTTATATGCACCTGGCTTTACCGCAACGGCTGCATTTCTTCAGCGCAGCACTCGGGTTCCGGCACCAAGAGCAGCGATTCAACTCCACATCGTTGATGCTGAGGGAAGGATGTATTGAACGTCCTTCACGGCGGCGATGGGTGCGCCCACCAGTGCCAGGATCCTCAACATCAATCTGTTCCAGCCAGTCCACAAGGTCGTCTTCGGTTTTTGTAGGTGAGACTTCGCTCCTGACACCGGCATGAGCGAGTATGATAAATTCCCACTCTTTCCAGGCATTCTGCATCCGGCTAACCACCTCCATGCAGACCAGATGCATCTGAGTCTTAGATGCAGGGCGGCTTAAAAATCTGGCAAATTCGTCTGCGAGGTCCAATCGCTTCTTGGCATCCTTTGAGCGAGACATCAGTGGCCTCGTAAGGAATTATCATGGGTGGCTTACCAGAAATTCACGCATATCATCGCTGAGTTCGTGTCCTTTGGTAAGTAGTGACATCAAAACGTTGATATAGATCGCATTCCGCATTTTGCTGCTATCGGGAGGAGCCTCGTTGATGAACGTCTGCGAATCTTCGAACGCACACACTGCAAATGCGATACCCTCCTGTATATTCTCTCCGCCAGCCGCGGCGTCTTGCAAGTATCTGAGCGCCAGGTCCGCCGCGTGCTCTGCTGCGTGGATGAGCAATCCAAGCCGCACATACGAGGGTAAATTACGGCACTTAAGTCCCTTCTTCGCAAAGCGCAGGCCCTCCGACTTCTCCGCTCCGAGCGTGAGGACATAGTAGAAGAACCCGACTTGTGGGCTACGCAGAACCGCCTTGCGGGCAATTGCATGAGCTTGCACGAATTGCATCTTCGTGATGCAGTATTTGAGATCCAAGATGTCTGCTTTGTCCGCCTCATCAGGTCGGCCGCGTGCACGGATGGCGTTGGCGCACAGCGGCAACGCATCATGCCACATTGTGAACGGCAAGCCAAAATTCTGGATCGAGACCTTTCCGGTGCGCGGGTCTGGACCCTGGAAGCCGCCTTGCACGATTGCATATTCAGAGCATGGAATAAGCTCAGCAATCTTGAGACCTAGTTTGTACAGATCGTGGTCCCGTGTGACTTGCACCATCGCCTCCTGGTAGTCCTCGAGCGTGTGCATCATCTGGAAAATCTCGCCCTCGAGCGGATTGCCCTCCAACATCTTGTCTGCCAGATGTTTCGGCCAGCCGCGCTTCATTGTCGCAATCATCTTCCTTGGATCCAATATCAGTTTGTCGACCTCCGAGTCGTACATGTGTCGACGCAAAATCCCGGCGATTCCGGACGCGCGTGTGGTGATATTGTTGCTGCGTGTGCACGCCACCAGAAAGTCAATCGCTGCCGGGCATTCCTGGTATGCTTCAGGACAGTGTTGTGCCGCGCCTGAAATCATGCCGAGTGCGTGTTCAAAAAGCAGGTTGGTCGGCAGTGTGAGCACTAGCGGCTTGCGAATAGACGCGACCGTCATGCGCAGGACGCGCGGTATGTCGATAATCTTTACCAATTTTGCGTCGGGTGGCGCCTTTTTGCCGACGACCGCTGCAATTGCGTGGGAGAGGGTCGTAATTGTGAGCTCGGCGGCTTTCATGTCATTCGGTTGCTGTTCGAGAAGCTGCAACAGCACAGATGTCTTCTTCGCGATCTCCACGCGCACAGTTCCTCCCCCATGTATTGCGAAGAAACTCAGCGCATGAAGCCCGACATGGTAGCAGGTCTGCTTGTCCAAGACGGACATTACTTTTTGCAAAAAATCTGCGCGCTCCCAGCGTTATGCTCAGTCGGGGTAGCACGTAACAATCTCGCTTACCAGCCTCGTCGACTATACGATCTCTCAGCACCGCGTCTGCGGATAATTTGGTGTATATCGCCACCACGGTGCCCATCAAGCTTTCGTCGCCAACTCTGGTCCCGTAGTCATAGATGTCGGTCAGCTTGCTCGAGACCGCGTCAAAGTTGCGGTGAATGATTCTCAAGCCGCTGCGCGAGGATATGTCTGCCAGTCAGTTAGCACGCCGTGACTGTTGCGACATTTTCGCAGCCAAAACGGCTACTTCGTTTGTGATGCGTGAATGAGACATACCAGGAAATTCGAGCATTGCACACAAAATGTCGGCGCGTGATGACCATCCCTCCGCATGGTATACATTGTCCAAGAACTCGTCTGAGGGAATATATCCTGTGCTGGTCGAGGGATCGCTGACGGATGGCTTGGCCTTTTTCTTCGTCTTGGACTTCTGTCCGTGACCTGGCATCGCTCTATAGAACGATAGGGTTTATCTGGTTCAACGTGGTCAAGGCTGATGTGATGATGAAGTGCAAAAATGGTGAGTACGATGATCAAGGTTGCACATGAAGGGGAACAGCTCGACAAACCAGCAATCAGTCGACGAAATCGTGATGTACATACTGTAGTCACGTGCACGCGTCGCGTTTCCATCAGGAGCCAGCTCGACTCTTCGGAATTCAGTAAGTACCACTATATACATGCCTGAGTACGCTGTAGGTTCGCCGTACTTGGCATACATAAGGCTCTGCGCTGGTTTATTTTGAACTCTCCACCACTGAGTAACTACAGTTCTGCGAACCGTTCGCAAGGCCTCCCGCCACTGCTCAATAGTCATCATCGTATATAGGTGGCGTGACTATCGTACGCGTACATACAATTACAGCTGTTTGATACATTTGCATACATACTATACTTCGTCTGTAAGTACATTGTCCTATCAAGGTACGCGATCTGGAGTCGCAATTGTCCGAACATGTCGCAAAAACCTTGGCCGCATGAGGTACATTTACACAAAGTGAAAGGCCTTCAGTGTCCGATGCTCTCCTTCTTACACACCTTCCTATGAGTTTTCCAGTGTTCCTTTTGGCAAGTAGAATCGCAATATCTGCATCGTCAGTAAGACCACAGGCTAGTCACATACAAGGAACGGTTTACGCACTTAGTTTTTCCGCAACCACTGCACTTCTTCAGCACAACGCTCGGGTTCCGGCACCACGAGCAGCGATTCAACTCCACATCGTTGATCTCGAGCGAAATATGTGTCGTGTTCGCATCACGATGGCGATGGTCGTGCCCACACACGCCAGGGTCCTCGATATCAATCTGTTCCAGCCAGCTTGCAAGATCGTCTTCGGCTTTTGCAGGTGAGATCTCGCTCCTGACGTCGGCGTGATCGCGTATGATCTTGTCCCAATCCTTCCACGCCTTCTGCATCCGGGTGACTAGCTCCATGCAAGCTAACCGCATCTGCGTTCTAGATAAGGGCCTGCTGAAAAACCTGGCAAAGTCGTCTACAATGTCCAGACGCTTCTTGGCGTCCTTCAAGTGCGGCGCGAACATCAGCGATCTTCTAAGAAATTATCGCAGACGGCTTACCAGCAATTCACGCATGTCGTCGCTTAGCTCGTGTCCCTTAATGAGCAGAGACATCAAAACGTTCACGTAGATTGCATTTCGCATTTTGTTGCAGTCGGGAGGAGCTTCGTCGATGAATGTCTGCGAGTCCTCGAGCGCGCTCATCGCAAATGCGACGCCTTCCTGAAGCCCCTTTCCACCGCCAGAGGCATCCTGCAAGGACCTGAGGGCGAGATCCGCTGCATACTCTGCTGCATGTATGAGCAATGCAAACCGCACGTAAGGGGTCAGATGAGGGCATTTGAGCCCCTTCTTCGCAAGGCGCAAACCCTCCGACAGGTCCGCTCCGAGGATGAGGACGTAGTAGTAGAATCCAACGTGTGGGTTGCGCTGGATGGCCTTTCGAGCGATTACAACCGCTGGCGCCACCTTCGACTTCAGGATGAGGTACTTGAGGTCCACCATATCCGCCTTGTCCATCTCGTCGGGCCTACCGCGCGCACGGATGGCATTGGCACACAGCGGCAATGCGTCATGCCACATTGTAAACGGCAGGCCGATGTTCTGGACCGTGAGCTCGCCAGTGCGCGGGTCTGGTGCCTGGAAGCCGCCGTCCAAGATCGCATATTCTGAGCGCGGGATGAGCTCAGCAATCTTGAGACCCAGACTATACATGTCGTGGTCCCGCGCGACCTGCAGCATTGCATTTTGGTAGTCCTTCATCCCGCGCATCATCCGGAAAATCTCGCCGTCGGACGGATTGCCCTCCTGGAGCCTTTCTTTCAGATGTTTCGGCCAGCCACGCTGGATTGCCGCCATGATCTTCGCTGAGTCCGGTATCAGCGCATCAGCCTCAGAGTCGGACATGTGTAGGCGCAGGATCCCCGCAATACCAGCCGCACGTGTCGTGATGTCGTCGCTACGCGAACATGCCACCAGAAAGTCAATCGCTGCCGGGTACGCTTGGAATGCTTCGTGGCAATGCTGCGTCGCGCCCGAGATTATGCTGAGTGCGTGATCAAAAAGCAAAGTGGTCGGTAGTGTGAGGAACAGCGGCCTGCGAATGAGCTCAATTATGACGCGTAGCATGCGCGGTATGTCGACAGGCTTGAGTAACTTCGCGTCGGGCGGCATCTCATTGCAGACGACGGCAGCTACTGCGTGGGAGATGGTCGTGATCGTGAGCTCAGCGGCTTTCATGTCATCCGGGTGCTCTGCCAGAAGCTGCAATAGCATAGGTGTCTTCTTCGCAATCTCCACGCGGACGGTCTCTCCCCCATGGACAGTGAAAGAGCCCAGGGCATGAAGCCCGACATGGTAGCAAGTCGGCTTGCTC